ACATTAATTTTGTTTTACATTGTTTTCTAACACGGGATCTTTTATATATAAGATGTATAATGGCGTATATTTTGATGTACTCGCCCTTCCATGACGAAGGATAATTATTGACGTATCCTGTAGACCATTGAAAGCAATCGACTTAAATAGGTACACGATAGGACCCTATTCCGGGAGAAGCGAACTTAGTCTCTGCTGCTCAATAAAAACATGATCGTATGTTTCATTCAGAAAAAGAAAAATGAATGGTTTTAAGTTTTAATGTACTGTCCGAATATAATTATCTCACTATAAAATGTAAAGACTTTAGAGAACATACATAATTTTTGTAGTAATTAAAAGTGGTAGTATATATTAGAATTCACTAGTAAAATACTCGTAGTAACAGGTATATAATAGCATAATGAATAATATAGTCTGTCTAAACATAAGGGTCGTGCTGCTATTCCTATTTTCGTCATCACTAATTTACAACAATGACAAACAAAACTTTACAAAAATTATATAGGTACCTAATCTTTATAAATACATCACCGATCATAAGTTTGTAGGAGTAGCATCGTTATTTTCTTCCATTGCCTTCCTTGTTGCCTATACACGTATATTTTTGTGGCTTAATATGTTTACTACGTAATTATTTTCTTTGGTTACATCATAGAGTTACTATACTTATTAACTCCATGGGTTACATTCATTGCAATAAGATACTGAGTTTACTTTTGCATCTTTTTTTTCTTGTGTGTGTTATTATTGCTTAGTCGGCTGAACGAGCGACCCATCTGTTCTTAAGTGGCATCGGACCACTTAAGAACAGATTGATACATCAACAAAGCTAATGACGCCGTATGTGAGTGCTCAGAGGCACGAATTCTAAGTCCCAGTTGCATGTACAAACAACAATCGTGGCAGAAATAGGCGACGTTATTGTATGTGAAACCGTAGAATATAGGTAAACTTAAACTATTACACAAGTTTGTTATTCATTAAAATTAGTTATTATGTTAAAGTATAAATAGATGATGATTTTTTTGATAACGCCATCTTGTTGTGTCTTTAAAACAGTTAGTTGCTCTCAATTAAGAAAAATAGTCTTATTTTTCGCCAATAGATGTCGGGAAGAGTCATAAAGTTGATTATCGATAAAGTAGATTATTGAAAACACGAATAAAACAACATTTTCTGAAAATAAATCGTAGCTAGATCGATTTATCGCCCCCGAAATCCTCTGTATACAAAATTTTATGAAAATCGTTGGAGCCGTTTCCGAGATTCAGATTATATATACAAGAATTTCTCGTTTAAAGGTATAAGATATTCTTCGGTTTTTGCGAGTCATAGACATGATCGATCCTACGACGTGGTCACGGACGACTATAACAAAAACTTCAAAGCACTCGTACACTCGGAAATATTATAATGACGATAAAAAGCGCAAGATTACCGTACCGTCCTATACCTTAAATGTACATACATAGTTAGAAAAAAATTATTAGTATAAAAGATGATGAAGCAATGAAAATAATAAACGATTGTTATGTTCTAAAGATATTCACACAATTTTCTTTTTGTAATTATTTATAGATATTTCATGTTTGATAGTTTGAGAAATATTGTGTTGGGCATTTACTTCATTTTAAGTACGTTAATTAGAATAGAAGTTTAATAAAACAATAACCTCCGCGTGAGAGACTATCTATAAAGCTAGATAATAAACTACAGCGGAATTCCAAAGTTGACAGGATAATTTCCTCGTTGCCTCGCCATGGAGCACAAATTCCGGTTTGAGCTGCATACAAATTACCGATAAGTCCTTGAGTACCCTTGACCTTGCGTGGGATCCGTCCGTGATGGATTCCTTTTACTTCATCCATTATTACTAGAATAAATAAACATAGTTAACGATGTCTAAGTAATATAACGGTATTCCGTTGTTAGGAATAAAATAAATTTTAATAAATTTGAATTAAAAATAGTGTAAAGTCCTATTTTGATTATATCCTGAAAAGCACCCCACGCTTTTTTACAATAAAATCATTTTTTCTTACACTATTTTTAATTCAAATTTATTAAAATTTATTTTAAATTTTTTGAGTTGGATTTTCTATAAAAGCGTATTTTGTTAGTTTTTTAAACTGTTATTTGTGTTTCATTTTTCAATTGAATTTCAATTTTTTCAATAATTTTTTTCAATAATTTTTTTTAATATTGAATTGTCATCGGTCCTTAATAAGTATACCAAATTTCGAGTTAATCCGACGTTTTGAAGGGGGTCAAAATCATGTTCAGAGATTTCGTTACAAACATACATACGTCTGAAGCTAATAAAAGCGTATTAATATGCCTTAATTTAAATATATTATATTATAATATATTATAATAAAACGATGATAATGATGAGAATCTTTGTGGGGATGAGAAATAATAATGTTAATTTTAAATACCCAGCGAAGCGGACGGGTACAGCTAGTAATTTAAAAATCAACAGTGGTTTTTACGGATGTTCCGTTATAACTCCTGAACCATGCATCCGATTGACTTGAAACTTGGTATCCATGTAGAAAATACATGTACTTAATGGATAGATATGAGTGTTGGACTCCCTAATAATAATGACAATAAATAATAATGTTAATTTTAAATGCCCAGCGAAGCGGGCGAGTACGGCTAGTACATTATAAATATACCTACAAAGTCGAACTTCGTGTCTACGCAAATCAATTTACTCTGTTTATCGTGGAACAGATAAGAAGGAATAATAATTAGGTCAGAGCTACGATGGATAGCCAGCTGAGTATAGCCCAAGACCTTAAAAGCCGGAAATATGGCGAAGAGACATCTTTCAGTATTGAAAAGCTTAAGGTTGAAGTTTTTTTTTTATTATTGCTATAAAGAAACTCACTACTCGCCGACATGCACTAAAAGTGTTCTATCCTTTGTGTTTCGGAGTGTAATGATTTTCATTATTTGTTATTTGTTTACAACAATAACTACAACATACCACAACATGTACCTAATATTGAAACTTAAGGCAACGGGATGGAATATTCGAGTGAGGATAAATAAGGATAGATTAAATTTTCAGTACCAGCTACTCAACGCATGTTTCAGCGGATTCAGCGGAGTTAATTTAGGTGGAGGTGCAATGAAAATAAATTTTAGTAATATATTATATACAAAAATTTGCTAATCAACAATGGTTCTTTAAAATCGATAAACTTATTAAACATCCTTATGCATTTGGAGTTTAGTTGTCAATTGTTTGTAACATTATACTGAGATTAGAAAATCAATGCCGTTCATCGCATTGGTAAATGGGTATTTTAGTGTGAGTGCTTTCTCTAAGTTTACTCCTAAATTTCATCAATGAATTCAGCTTACTAATATGATTAATTTATTTTAAGTACCTCTTAAATAAGTTCAGTTGTTTCGTTTACATTTTAGCATGTACAATGTACATATATATGAAATTACCCGATTTTGTGACTTTTTTTATTGAAGTCGTCGTGGCCTAAGAGATAAGACGTCCGGTGCATTCGTGTTGAGCGATGCACCTGTGTTTGACTCCCAGGCGGGTACCAATTTTTCTAATGAATTACGTACTCAACAAATGTTCACGATTGACTTCCACGGTGAAGGAATACTTAACATCGTGTAATAAAAGTGAAACCCGAAAAATTATAATTTGCGTAATTACTGGTGGTAGGACCTCTTGTGAGTCCGTGCGGGTAGGTACCACCGCCCTGCCTATTTCTGCCGTGAAGCAGTAATGCGTTTCGGTCTGAAGGGTGGGGCAGCCGTTGTAACTATACTGAGATCTTAGAACTTATATCTCAAGGCGGGTGGCGTATTTATGTTGTAGATGTCCATGGGCTCCAGTAACCACTTAACACCAGGTGGGCTGTGAGCTCGTCCACCCACCTAAGCAATAAAAAAAAACTTTTATTGCTAATATTGCTAATCGAGCTCACGGCTAACCTGGTGTTCAGTGTTATCGGAGCCCATCGACATCCACAATGTAAATGCCGCCAGAGTGGTGGTACCTACTCGTGCGAACTCACAAGACGTCCTACCACCAGTAAAAAATCATAATTTCTTAATTCACCATTCATCCCTTATTTCACCTACACCGACGTCACATTTAAGAATTATTCGAGATGATTCTTTCATCTCCTTTTTTTTTCATCACACCGTCCGCTACCGAAGCAGAGTTCATTCATATTATTAAGAGCCGCTGCGTTCATCGATAGTTCGTTTCCAGTTTTTTTTTGCGATGTACTTTCGGCTCTGGCATGAACTCCCCTCTACGACATTTCCCGAGCGCTATGATATATTGTTCTTCAAACGAAGCTGGGACTGCCCAATAATGCAACACTGGACATGTGTGTATGTTGAGCACTCTGGATCCAAACCAGCCTTTTAAGGTAGTTTTGATATTCATTTTTGGAACGAAGTTCCTTATGGGACGATGCGGAGCGGTACCCTAACCGGGAAAAAACGTCCGTAACGTAAGATTTTTATTAGTAATGCACACAGTGTACGACTTAACTTTGTAACGTACAAAAATAACATATTTTTTTATCATTCATTGACCACAATCTCAGAGCGTTCGTTTGCGCAATACACTAACTCTTATGCAAACAACCTTGAATGAAGTGTACCACAATAAGTTTGCACGTTACCGAATGACGGTGGGTTGTTGCGAAACCTCCAGTTTTATTTTCTTTATACCTCGAATAGAAATTTAAATTAATATTTTTATAATAAGGGACTTCGTTCCTATCCGGTGTCCCACGACACCACACATCTTTTTTTGTTTTATTATTATTTTCATTATTATTTTATTCCGAAATTGTATTTATTGTTTCTGTTTACTTTTGGTCTTCTATATAAAATGTTATTGTTAATGAATGCAAGATGGATGCAAAATCTGAAGTAAATGAAATAAATAAAATAAATTGGTAGAAAACTAATTTAGTATGTATTCAAACTAGTAAACTCACCCGATAGGAGGTTGCATTTGCGGCGTTCGTGTGCGGTAGCGACAGCAACGCGAAGGGCAGCAGCAGCGCACTTGACATGCGCCGCGGCCCCCCCATTATCGCGCACCATGCGTCTGCGAAGGCGCCTTCTGGAGAGAAAACAGACTGACTGACTCGGTGGTGCGGTAGTTAGCGGCCCTGACTGTTGCGCCTAGGGTCGTGGGTTCGATTCCCGCATCGGGCAAACATTCGTGTGATGAACAGGTTTGTTTGCTCTTCATCTGGGTGTTTATTATCTATATATATCGACGCTTGATAGGCAAACATGACTAAGCGGCAATAACTGCTTTATACATAAATGATAGGCAATAACCATATTCGATGCGCAAAAAATATATATTTCTAGGTCTATTAAAATAATTTCAATCCTATAGCTAGATTCGTTAAAATAGATTTTTTTTCAGGTATTTCAACTTTAAATTAGTCTACTGTAAAGTTCACGCGTTGTCGCTTAGTCACATTTGCCTTTCAAGCGTCAATATGTATATATTTAAATGTATATAAGTATGTATGTCAGTTTCTGGTACCCATAACACAGGGAAACCTAAATTGGGGCCAGATGACCGTGCGTGATTCGTTCCCAGTTATTTAATTTCTCATTACTTTCTTATTTCTTATTTCACCACCCTGTCTATTTCTGCCGTGAAGCAGTAATGCGTTTCGGTTGAAGGGTGGAGCAGCCGTTGTAACTATACTTGAAACCTTAGAACTTATATCTCAAGGTGGGTGGCGCACGTCGCAGATGTCTATGGGCTCCAGTAACCACTTAACACCAGGTGGGCTGTGAGCTCGTTCACCCATCTAAGCATAAAAAATGAATAAAAAATAATAATAATAATTTCACTTAGTCGACTTCCCTAATGTAAATCCCGTCCGCGATCGCTTTTAATCTGGGCAGGCTCTCCCCTATCACATGTAATTGGAGTAAGTGCTACTACCTACGTAATGAGGTGATAATTTACAAATCTTCCATTCGCCACATCGTGCCGTATGCGAGTTTAGAATGAGCTCATGTGGCCCGTAACCAAAGTTTTCTTTAAATATTACAACCCAGCTTTCTTAGCTTAGCCGTTGAAGCACGTAAGGAATGCAGATTTTTACTATGATTTAGGTGTTGAACTCATCCTATCCTATTCATTTAGGTATCATAACATTTGAATACAGCGTAGACCGCTATTTTGCACCAGCAATGGGATCGTATTCGCCGCTAAACCTGCTCACGAAGCAATCGACGAACGTCGACACCCTAGACTTGTCCTGAAGGACGGTACTGTTGTATTGTTGAACGCTACTAGGTTTTATACTAGCAACAATCAAAGTATAGAATAAATATGGAAGACTCATAGAAGTCTCATACTTAACTGGTTGCTGAAATACCGTTTCAAATAGTTAGTTACATTGTTAGGGTTATTTGATCAAAACTGTTTAAAGGAAAGATTTTTTTCTATTCGGCACATTTACCAATGTTTACAGCATCATTAATACTTAAAAGAAGTCGTGTTTCTTTTAACTGAATCTTCTGGGATGCAATTTATTAACTAACTATATATGTATTATATTATTAGTGGCAATCTGAAAAAAACTTACTATTATGATTTTTATTAATAATGTATAATATCATAAATTTTGATAATTGGCGGTTATATATATCACTAGAATTGGGAATCGCGAACCCTGCTTAGATGAATTTAGTATATGAAAGTCTAACTTATCATTACGGCAACCGGATGCTCGCCTCAAGATAATACTGAATAATAATCAAAGAAAGTAAACAATATGGGAGAGGAAACATGGTAAATAAAGAAAATGGCAATGCCCTGAGGCGAAGAGGTTACAGGTTTCCAGGTCACGCTGTAGAAGCGGACCGCTCACTATTATAGGCACTCACAGCTTTCCTTCCTGAACTTTTACGGAAGCTGTCGTTCGAGTTTGATGTTATAAAATTAGCTATTAGAATTTTATAAATTCTCTTTATTATCTGGATTCCACGGAAGGTATATTATGAACAATTATTAGTTTTAAACAATTTATTTCATACAGGTGAGATCGGAATTCGACCACAACCATTTTCGCTATGATTTTGTTATTGATTTTTTCTTGTAATAGGTTGGAGAATTTTTACATAGAATTTTTATTATTTGAAACACTAAAGTTTGCTAAAAAGAGATTGTCTTCAAATACAAAAGATATAGAGGCACTGAGCTGCCTATTTAAACATATATTCATTTTATATGTGGATTTGTTCTTTCAATATCAGATAACAAATATTAAATTATAGTAAAATAACTAATATGCGCGACGTCTACTTATGTCTTAGATGTTTTGGCAGAATTAAGTATTTAATTACACCGAATTTGAAAAAGAATTGGTTAGAAAATTTGACCAGATTTTCTGCCTCGCTCCGTTGGAATAAGAAATAATTTTTTTGCATTTCAACTAGTGCGACCTTATTCAGTAACAGAGCGGTATCGGCTCAGGGGATCATATGAGTAGGGTTAGGCAACAGGCATGTTAGGTTTTCATCTGACAGGCAATTTATTGAAAGAATAATGTAACTAAGAATAATGTAAATAAACTTGTGTCTGAAGTGGAGAACTCTCTGGGGCGAGTCTCCAAATGGGGTGAATTGAACTTGGTTCAATTCAACCCGTTAAAGACACAAGTTTGCGCGTTCACTGCGAAGAAGGACCCCTTTGTCATGGCGCCGCAATTCCAAGGAGTATCCCTGCAACCTTCCGAGAGTATTGGGATACTTGGGGTCGACATTTCGAGCGATGTCCAGTTTCGGAGTCATTTGGAAGGCAAAGCCAAGTTGGCGTCCAAAATGCTGGGAGTCCTCAACAGAGCGAAGCGGTACTTCACGCCTGGACAAAGGCTTTTGCTTTATAAAGCACAAGTCCGGCCTCGCGTGGAGTACTGCTCCCATCTCTGGGCCGGGGCTCCCAAATACCAGCTTCTTCCATTTGACTCCATACAGAGGAGGGCCGTTCGGATTGTCGATAATCCCNATCGCGAGTGCATAGGGCCGTGGCGTGATCGCCTAAGCACTTGACGCATCGGGGGCGCGCGTGACAGTTACGGGAAGAATGCCCGTATAATTGGCAGTTATGGCACTGGCTAGGTGTGCCTTTCTTGTGTGGGGTTTCGACTGCGATTCCGGAAAGGCTACAGACCGTTCGGATGTTGAATATTTGCTTACCCTCGGGGGTAGGCTGGAGGGCGACGAGAACCATATTATATGGCTCCCTTCCGCGGCCTGTGTGCATGCGGTGTACGGAGTTAACCGGTAGGCCTTGTTCGAGAAGGTCGGCCTTGACGAGCTCGGCATCCAACTCTTTAGGGATGCCACGTATAACGGCACGGAGTTCGCGCTCCTCCTGGAGCGTATATGTGTGGAAACTTATACGCTCCTTACGGAGGTAAGAAGAGAGGGCCCTATGGTCGTCGGATGTTTTCAAGATACTGTTAGTTCTTTCCAAGTGCAAAGAAACGCAAATAAAAGTACAGTTAAAACTGCTTTTACGGCTTAACCTCGAGTTAACGCTAAAAGTGCTCTTAATTACATCTACGACCCGTGAAAACTAAAGAAAATCTAATATATAAAATTCTCGTGTCACAGTTTTCGTTGCCATACTCCTCCAAAACGGCTTGACCGATTTTGATGAAATTTTTTGTGCTTATCCGGTATTTATGAGAATCGGCCAACATCTATTTTTCATACCCCTAAATGTTAGGGGTAGTCCACCCCTAAATTTTATTTTTTATTTTTTAGACAAAATTTTTAATTTCTGTTTTTTTATGATACAACATCCAAAAATACATACAATCCTCAATTTTCACCCCTCTACGATTAACCCCTATTTTTTATTTGTTAATTATAAACTTTAATTTTTTTGGCAAGATTTTCATTTTTATTTTTATTTTGTCATGAATTAAAATAAAAAATCTGATGTTACTCTCAATTTTTCATCCCTCTATGATCAACCCCTATTTTTATTTGTTAATTATAAACTTTAATTTTTTTGGCAAGTTTTTTATTTTGTTTTGTCATGACTTAAAATAAAAAAAAACATATTACTCTCAATTTTCACTCTTATGCGATCAACCCCATTTTTCCATCCCGATTAATATTTTTTTTATTCTATGCACAGATCCGCAATAAGGTTGCAAGATGGCAATCAAATATTATAATTGTAGTACGATAAATTCTTATTCAGAGTTTATAATTTCAAGTTCCTTTAATTATGTTTTTTTTAAATTGAATTTGATCTCCCGCCCTCGCCGGTCGACTACTGCTCAACTATCCCCGCCAGGTGTCACCACTCATCCAGCAAACATCACGTAGTAGGGATGAGGACGAAGCCGGTCTCCTGTCTTACTTACTCACTATATATCATAGATTATACACTTAATATATTTGAGAGCTATACAATACTATACATTTTTCAGCCATGTTTTTTTGGTTTTATTTGTGTATTAATAGTATGTTCAGTAGGTCTGAGAATCGGCTACTATCTATTTTTCATACCCCTAAGTGAAAAGGGTTGTCCACCCCAAACATTTATTTTTTATTTTACTTTTTTGGATATTTTTTTTTTGTTTATAATGAGGTATTATGTGGTTAAATGAGGTTTTTTTACCTCAGTAGAATTTCCCTAGAAATCTTATTTAAGGCAACACAACGTTTGCCGGGTCAGCTAGTACTATTATATGTTTGAAGTCGTCAATGCATGTAATGTACCTAAAAATTTCAGGGGAAACATGTAACTATACTTGAGACCTTAGAACTTATATCTCAAGGTGGGTGGCGCATTTACGTTGTGGATGTCTATGGGTTCCAGTAACCACTTAACACCAGGTGGGCTGTGAGCTCGTTCTCCCACCTAAGCAATAAAAAAAAATAAGCATCTTATTTTATGCCGACAAAGTCGTATATGTGCGTAGGACCCGCAATCTAATCTTTGCGAATAATAATATAATTTCAACTTCAAAGCAACTTTGTGAATTTCTATACGAGAAGAACTCGTTAAATAAATCTGTAAACTCTCTCAACTCCCGCGCTTTATCGAATGTCGGATCGCATTAAGTT